TAAAAACAAAATTTACTTATCCCATTTTATACCCCAACAGAGGAAAATAATAAAAAAAATAAAAAATAAAAATAAATAAATATAAATATTATAAATTAAAATCATTAAGTGGAACTAACCACCACCACCAACAACAACAACAACAACAACTAGAAATGCATAACAAGTAAGAAAGTTTGTGTATTATGTGTGAAAAGTAATGCAAAATGGATTCATCAATGGTAAACAATTGAAAAATGCAATCACAGCAAAAACAAAAAAAACAATTTTTTTTCAAAATGTGCACATTATAAAACAAAAGGAAATATTGAATAATGAACTGATAAATTAATTTTATTAGCATAATTCAATGAGATTATAATTTATGGACGACCTTTGAGAGACGGTAACTAAATTGACCTTGAGAGTATTCACCTAGTAACTTGGATCAAATGAAGGTTATAAACCAGTATGAAGAATTAGATTTGTGATTTACAATTGATGATTAAAGGTTAAGAATTAGATTTTTGGGTGTTTCATCACGAATTAACATCAGCTATAATGCCAAGACACTAGTTAGTCAAATGGATGAGTGAATTTCGCTTCAAAATCCAACACCTTTTATATTATTCCTGATTGGTTCATCCATTAAATTATAATCTCACCCATAATTCTCATGTGTAATATATACAATTCAAAGCAATTTTTATGAAATGAAATGCATTCATATATACCTATTTCAATCTTTTACAAAAAAAAGGCTTGTCCAACTTTGTTATTCAATGTATTAGTTATTGTATTGGAAAAATGAACAGTTGATTCATACATAAATAAAGAAATATGAATAACAATGAAGACGACCTGAAAAATTTAAACAAATGAAAAACAAACAAAATTGATTAGTTTCTTATGTGTTTTTTCAAAGAAAAATTTTACTATACCGAGGGTATTCGCACAACAACAACAACAACAATAAAAAGAAACGGCCAACTCTGTAATTCAGCTCAGGTTAGTGTAGTTAGTTATGTAATAAGAAATATTTTTGCTTGAAGATTATTGATAATATTAGGTCAATCAAATAGAATTAGGTGGTGTGTGTGGCTTTCGAACTATCACCACCATAGTTATTACCTGATATATTTTTCTACCATTGAAATGTTATAGATATATGCATGTAATTAGATTTTTTTTTGTTTACAAATTTTACATTCAAACATTTATGTAACTTTTTGATGGATTGACTTTGAAAATAGTTTCCATCGAAATCAGGACGACTTAAAGAGACATTTTACACTACCCAATCATCTTATAATCTCTATCAATCTCTAAACTATTTTGACAGTGTTCGAATGAGTAAGAGACTTAATTTATAAAAATTCAGGCTAGTGGATTGTCAGTCAGTAACAACGTAGAAATTCGTACGTACGTACCTCAGTTCGAGTTGCCATACCACATTAGCACAGAGATGCAGTTGTCGATTCAAATCTCGTAATGGTAGAGGTAGTACGAGTATAAGCAGTAATCGGGGAGATTTGGGTTTGAAGATGTTATTTAAAGAGTATAATGCAGTGAAATAAATTTGGGAAGAGAAAAAAGAGACAAGAAGGGAATGAGGTGAATAAAATTTGAGAGAACACAGAGTGTATGCACCTGCGCCATTGTGAACGATTTTGAGCCATGTCATTCAGGGTCTCTACCAATTGGATTGTAATTTATTTAATTAGCTAAAGAGATGTGTTTTAAGGCTAGTTTCTAAAAGTGAAAAATGCAAACGTTCCATGAGTTTTCAGGTAACGTTAAATAGTTGTTGGGTAATAAGACGCTTATAATGATTATTTAAAAAAGGGAGAAAAACTCATTGTTATCGTGAATCAGTGATTGGCCTTACAATCAAAATATCGTTTAATTATGGATTTTAAAAAATGTGTACTTGGTGAATGAGTTGCGCTACTATCATAATAAGATGAAAACTTTGAATATATATCCTGTCAAAGGCAGAGATGGATGGTGGCTAACAGTAGAATCTAGGACGCTTGTTTCGTCCTATTTTTGGGATTCGTCGGCTGGATTTACTTGTGTTTCAAAGTTGATGTTCAATCCGGGACATGAACTCATTACCGTTCGCTCCAAACACCATCACGTTATCCACTTATCTACTGTGAACAGCAACTCTGCAATGCAGACATATTCATATGATGAGTCCCAAAAATAGGACGAAACACGCGTCCTGTATTCCCCTGTTAGCCACCATCCATCTTTGCTTGCGATGCTTGTGACTGAAGTCGATATTGAAGCTATTCGCACAGGATGCACATATACCAATAAGAGACGGATCAATTGCAGTCTTAAACATCAATTGGAAGATTCAAACAACCAATATAAAAATGAATAAGTCATATCAGTTTAAAAATATATTGAATCATTAAATCGAAAATTTCATGTTTAACGTTTATGGTAGTTAATTAGGCATATTTACTGTAAAGTTTAAAGTTATAACTTTGTACATTTGGTTCTTCTTAACCAACATTAAATATATGTTAACAGCTCAAGTAAATGGATGTTTCGTAAAAATTCAGCTATGATTAATAACCATAAATACTCCAATGCATTTTAACGTGACTACGTATCCTTGCAAATTATCTATTCGGAACGACATTCCTATTATCATTATTATGGAATTTCATTAATTTCATACATCTTGGATATTTGTTTAGTATTATTTAAAATTGTGAGAAACGAGTTGTGATTAATTTAACAAATAAAGTTAGTTAGTGGCTAGAAGTAAAATCTAGGACAAACGTTGCATTCTATCTGAAACTTGTCAGTTGGATTTGTCTGTAATCGTGATAATGTTCGCACTGGTACTCTAATCCTGTACGTTTCGATTCAAATGGCTAACTCCCTAACCAATTAGCCACTGATTTCAGAGAATTAGTAGCTAGTAAGAAGAAACGATACGAGATTTCCGCATTCCACTACTAATCATTATTCAACTTTGAATAGAAATGCTTGTAGTTCAATGGTAATATTGAATTAATTCACTCAAGACATACATATACTAAAATAGACTGATCGACAGAAATGTTTGATATCACTAGAAAGATTCAATCAAACTCCTTGAACTGCAAACTTTATTAACAGTCCAGCCAATATATAAATCCGTATTATTTCAACAGATTTCGTATAAATAAAAGTGTTTTGTAATGTAATACAACTCATGTATGTAATAAATATTTGAATGAGTTTACATAGATCAAGCTTTTAGTCAGTAATTTAAATACTGTATTAACAACATTACGCAAATCATCAAACTACATCACGAGGCAAGCCCTTATGTGAAATCCTGAAGGGAAGTGGAAAAAAGGAAGGTCAAAGAACACATTACGTCGGGAAATAGAATCAGATATGAAAAGGATGAGTAACAACTGGAAAGAGCTGGAAAGGATTGCCCAGGACAGGGTTGGATAGCAAGTGCTGGTGAGCAGCCTATGCTCCTCCATGAGGAGTAACTTACGTAAGCAAGTAAGTAAGTAACAACATTTTAAGAATAGCTTACAAGCTAAATTTTAATCCACAAAAGACCAAAATCATCTATCTTAAGATTAATCAAATCAAATAAGGTAGTGAACAGGTAAGGGAAATTTGTTGTTCAGGCATATGAATTTGATGAAGTTTCATTATTTAATTTGAATGATTTAATCAACATAAATCAATGACTCTGTTTAGAAAGGCAATGGCAATTTCACGACTAAAACACACAGCTGACGAAATGAACATCCAAAAACAGGTAATAAGGTTTTTAAGTGTACTGCATATATCTGAGAATATCCCGTTTGTTTTTTCGATACTCATGAAACAATACTTTCCCGTTTAACAAAATAATGAAACATTACCTAAGTATACTTTGCAGCATACTTTTTTACATGGACTTCCTTACGAACATTTTTCGATGATAAACTTGACACTCCAAAGCATCTTATTAAATAAAAAAGTATTCCTAAAAATATAGGTCGAACGTCAAAAACATCTTTTGAAGTTTTGGCTCTTCATCATACCTTGATATGAATGTATAATTTTACATTCGAGAAATACAAATCAAATTGTAGTAATTAGCCTAACTTTAGGGTATGGTTGCTCAGTATCATGAATTGGTTGAAGTCGGTCAGGTGTATCAAAGATTGCCAGCTTAATGGTCTACTGGTTTAACATTTGTGCGCGAGACTGGAGGTCCTAAGTTTGACCCCCTTTATTGGGGTCGTCGACGAGCACTATCATGCAGTCTCATGACAGGACGAAACAGCTTTCTAACTCCTCTTAGAATTTAATAATGTTATAGCTAAGATCAGTTCATAGTTTGATCTATCAAATAGCAATAATAATAAGAGGAGATAAAGGCAAAAAGAAAGGGTTGATATGTTGATTGATAAGGTTGATTAAATGAGAATGAAAATCGAGAATATGTATATGATTTTTTGGACAAGCAACTTGTTAATTATTGGAAATAGCTGCATAACAATAAAGATAACAAGTTGAAAGGTAAATTTTAGATTATTTGGATGATCATAGTACAGAGAGAGTAGCTGCACAACCATTTTCTGAATGTATTGAATTTATTAAAGTAGATCTTTCCATTAAGCAAACTCATCCTGCGTATTGTGCTCTGTCAAATATTTGTCAAGTTTAGTTTCTGATGGATAGTTTCGCAGTCAATTCTGACGTTAATTTTATTGGTTTAGGAAGATGCTTGCTGATTCGAGAGTTGCCTAAATTCTGTTTTGTCACTTTTTGTCGTAAACTGAATAAAAAGTGGTTGGTAGGTGTAATAGGTAAACGTTTTATGTCAGTTTAATTTAGAAAGCCTAACTCTTTAAATATGACAAGACGCAAAGTTACATCAATTCTGTTTCACACCATCCAATGAATAAGCAGTAACGTTATGAAAAATTATTTTCTTTAACTTACCCTCTGAAACATTGAACCGTGAATTTGATGTCAATTTTCCATCTTTAATTCACGTCAACTTACTGGTATCTTGTGTTATAATGTTTGCTGGACTCAGGTTTTTGAGATGGTTTAAATGGACAGTTCACGTATATACCATCGGATTTCAGGGCTCTGTGACTTGGTATACTTGTGGTGTAATTTTTGGTCTTTGGTGAGCCATAATGTGTGGTATGTTTATAATCACGATAAGGTACGTTCAAAACCTGCAGCCTAAAGGGATGGATGGTTTTAGAATTTGATAAAGAAGTTTGGAGTGGATCGTAAAAAACATCTGAAAATTAAACTATCAAATTTAACCTTGCATGAGATTTTACGACCATTAATAAAACCGAATAAATAAATACATATTTGTGCATTGGTGGTTGAAACACGGGCTACTAAGATGTAACTGCAATGGTCTACAAATCAAAATAATCTCAAAAATGAATACAAATCAATCCTCACATATTTTTACGTATCTAGATGATATAGGGTGTTTGTCGTTACTTATATTCAAGACTATTTTGTCTTTTAATTACATTCATCCGAGATCTATATCCTTATTTTTTCCAAACACCAGCTTTGTCTTAGCACTCATGTTTATAACTGGGTTTGTTTAAATTCTGTTAGTACTGTAGCTCAGTTTAATTTTGAGATAACCATATAAAATGTAACTTTTTACCAGCATTTACATTTAAATACATACTGAACGCTGCTTTTAGAACACGTTATGACTTTCAAAATGCCTATGTCGCTACCAGCTATAAAAGGCCCTTTAAGAGGTGAAATATGTACTTTTCTTTTATTTCTCATCGATAAGATGATGGCAACGACTTAATATAACTTGATTTTTAACCCAGTCTTCATATCACTTCAGTAACTCAATATTGATGTCTAACAAAACATGAGATGCTTACAATATACTAAAATGCTAATAAGATTTAAGATCCCAGTTAACAAATCTATAAATTTGAATCATCCTTATCTATATCCACGTGAGATTTTGTTTCTCTTTAAAGTTAGGTAAAGCAGCTAGCTATATTTTACCCATGTGTTAAGCGCTGTCACATAAATGGTATACATGAAAACTCGAACCCCAAGATATATGTGAATCTCTATAATGGAAGTACTTATTTACATCAGGAAAGATAAAATCAACCTTCTGCAAAAAACAGACCCTTATGGTTTTTCTCAAGGCTTGACTCAAATCTTTATGGAATTGTTAACCTCAACATGATGAAATCATGAATGAAAACATCTATCAACGCGATCTGTAATACTGAGTTCACATTCGTCGAAAACATACCTCGCACACTTCAGTAATCAACAGATAAATTTACATAAGAGTGCCTCTTATGTTCAATAACAGATGTTAAAACATTTACCCTCTCTCTACACAAAAAATAAACTAAAAGTAAGCGTAATATTTAGAAGCTTTGATCTAGTATATATGTGATTCATGAATTTTCCTGTTAGATAAATACTAAATATAATTGTCTCGTTTATCATCCACTCGATTTAACACAACCAGTCATTATGAATAAGCAAAAGAATTCGAGTAATAGTCGTACTGAATCAGTGATACATCGCTCTAGGTTTTTATTATCAAGTTGCTCTAAATGATGCATTTAACACAGTGACATCTACTTACTATTAGCCTTCACTAACAGACAAAAATCATCCTGCATTCACCTGACAGTCAACTTTTTTCTCTCGAATTTCGGCAATAAAGAAATTTATAAGGCAATTTAGGTAAACTGGTGAAATTGAACTTACAAACACATTCTAGTTGGAGATGTAAACATCAATAACATTTCAACAACGTGCATTTCAGTTTCAGTTCGATAAGAACAAAAGGATATAAAATCAAGATGTGTGCCCCTTGGAAGAAAGTTCGAGTTATATTCTGAACGGAAAAATTATGATGGTCAGGTATCTCTGACAATCACATATCAAAAAAGCTAACTTGCATTTTTTTAATGCTATCAACTGTTTCAATCATACAAACTTCAAAATGTTCCTCGAAACGATAAAATGCATTCATATCATACAACATATTAACTCACCTTTCATTGGTCAACGAACTAAACACCTCACTTCCAACTTTCTGGACAAAGACATCAGTCCGCGATTGTATAGGATGAGAGTATATGTCTACTTGAGATCCTCCAATACCGATCACATGACCTGGAGGTTTAGGGCAACTCACAACAGAATTTGTTTTGCCAGTTTCTATATTACTATGCCAGTGAGTGTTGTAAACAATAGCATCTGGACCATTAATTATTTTTGCAAGCATCTCCTTTTTGATGCGCTCAACGAGCCTGCGTTTAGAGTAATGAATATAAATACAATATCCAGTGCTGCACAAAGTCAAAATAACACCTAGCCCAATAGGTGCTAAAATATACACATAATCCATCTAACGTCGAAAAAGTCGACAATGTGCTTGGGTTACGAAATACGAGGTATTTACAATATCTTGTGGAGACATGACTGACAAGCTTATTTTGTAAATAGTTTTCAATGTTATTTCTATTTGTTTTGTCAATTTTTCATTGTATGTACATTTATCATTAAATGACTGTACGTGTTGTTTTAGTCAATGACCTTGAACACTTTTTCCGGCTGTAATTCGAACATAGCGTGACATATTCTTACTGGCTAACAAATACATCACTACTCACACATCCCTCGTTCTATTCCCATTTGTGATTGAATTAGCTGAATTCTAAATCAAATATTATCATTATTTATAGACTGTAATTGGAACACATCACTTTCTACGTTGGATTATATCACCAGAGAGTTCGCCAACCTGTTTGGAATTATCAAGCATTTATAATTGTGGATTTACATTACCAGACCGAATCAGAACACGCAGCGTTTGATCAATTTAAGTAACGTCCCTAATTTTTATCGTATTTGTAACAATTAACTGTATATATATCAATATTACTATTGATCCTTAGTAACTTTGTTTATAATTTTTTGCGTTCATATTTGCCTGGTCCACCACAATCTGACGGAACAAAAATGACAGTGCATTAAAAGATCTAAATTGCTCATTACTAATATCATTGTCACAAGCTTGCATAATTTTTTGGGTTCACTTCCAGTTGTTTTAGTACAGTTTCAGGTATTCGGTCATTTTCAATAGGAGGTAGTTTAACTGGGTTGAAATCATCATGTATGATGTTGTTATATATTCTGTTTTCTTTCTATTGCAGGGCAACCACGAATAAATGCTTTAGAAGAAGAGCAAGCTCTGCATTCACTGAACCTACAGGATGACTCATAAGACTTTTGTGAACTAACTCTCCCTTCCATACATGACCCGCGAATTTTAACTTCCAAAATAAACGACTGGTGGCTTCATCCAGTGTTCCCTCTCTCTCTTGGTGTGAAGTGCTCGGTTAAAATTGTGTGTTGTGGTTTCAGGTCTTCCCCGCCTGTCAGTGACTGCTGATTACACTTGTTACAGTAGTTAAGTCGATCGACTGCTTAAGTTCTGGTCACTTTTGTAATTATTTGCGGGTTTATACGTCTCGTAGTTCTTGGGAGTGTGTTTTCTTGGGATATTAGGGTTCTTGGGTACCAATAGCTATCACATTACTAAGCAAAAGTTTTGATGGTTGCAACGTGAAAATAATAAAGTGATAATTCGAATGCTAAGAGAAGACGATTGTCTCAAGAATCAAATATAAATCAATAGTTGGTATTGTTTGAGAAGATAGAGTTGAAAGTTTAAGAGGAGAAACGGGGATGATAATCAAAAACATATGTAGTACCTACTAATATCCTCAATCATAACCGCAATAATTTCTGTGACTCACATTAGACATAGCTGGTCTAAGAAGGGGACGGTAATCCATCTGTGCGTATTTGTATGTCAAGTCTCCTCCTAAGGGTATTCACCGATGGGGTTGGGTTAGCTTCGTTTGAGAGGGTGTTCCAGATGGGAACAACTCATAGCAGGAAAACGTGAGACCATAACATGGTGTAAGCTGGATGCAGCAAGCCGCTTATGGAACCACTTCTTAGATGTTGCATCCTGCTTGTTAGGAAGTGGTGTGAATGTCTCCATCTAGTAGTAATTGGCCAAACCTCATCCCTTTGTGTGTTAGATCCTGTGTGGTCCGCTATATTCCTTCCGTCAAGTACTTTATGTCGTTCACACTGAAGCAACACCAGCATGATTCAGTCACCTTGGTTGATTCGTCACTGTTTAGTGATACGACATTGGAGTGACTGTTAGTGTTTACTCGCACTCCGTCTGTTTTTGTATTCCATTGCATCTAAAACGCGCCATGTCTTGCATCTCACTTCCTTATTCATTATGTCGGACGATAGCCTAGTATTATTTAGGTCTCTGATCTTTAGATTTAACTGAAAATGCATCATTCCGATTTCTCCAGTTTTATCTCATAGTCCTGTAGTGACTCACATTTATCACGAGAACACGACTGGTTTGACAAAAACGTTTATTATTATAACCAAGTGTACCAGTGACTGTTTTAATGTGCTTTTGTTTGACTGTGCTAATGACAGCTATTTTGTGCTTCCATTCTTTTACTTACACTTCGATTGTACCTTCGCGCGAATTCGGTTACCTTCTGTAACCAAGGTTGTATCCTGGCACGATCTCGGTATCCTCTCGATGCCACGAGATCGCCAGCAAATATAACTCGACTTGGTCCATTACTTGCCTTCTGGTATTTGGCTTCTCGGAGATTTTATGGGTTTCTTTGGTTACGTTCAACCTACGCCTTCTGATTTATTTGGCACGTGTTTCTTGGTAGCGGTGTTCATAGTTAATCCCAACTCCACACCACGCTACAGTCCCTTGGTTTTTCGTCGCACCACCTGGTGCCCCTTACAATGAAATCTATCTTATGGGTTTTAAGCAGATTGTTGTTTTACGTGCGTTGGCCAGTTTTCTGAGAACTGGACACATTATATTTTCTTCCTGTATAGTGTGTCTCTTCGTCGGGACCATAGTCTTTGTGTTTCGTAACGTGACTAGCTCACCAATGTCAGCCGACATCAAAGAGTGTTTTGCTGTGAATTTTTTCAGCTCTTACCGATGGAGACCGACTTTCACAACATCTGACTAAAGAGGATGTTTTCGGAGCTGTACTAGGCCTAATGCAGTCTAACGTAGTTAAAATTTGGTGGGTTTCAAGTCATTTTTCTCGTAATAACACTGAACCCTAACCCTTTTGAAGGAATACTGTTTAGGTCCAAATATCACTAGAAATTAGGGCATCTGAATAAAAGGTTGGTTTTTTCTAATATATGGTGATTTTTTGGCTTATCACGTACCTAAACAGGCTTTTTAATACTTTATTTACCAGTCCCACTGCTAAAGGAGCCCTTCTAATGATCCATTTGGCACCAATAATGCATGAATGTTGGTAAATGCTTCTGGAGCTTTTTCAGTCTATACAGATCTTGGTACTATATTGAACCACAACTAACCTCTATAGTTGTGACCGATAATCCTAATTGACACTGCCTCCTTATCACTTTGCCGTCTAAAGCGAATGGTGACTTGAAACCTGAAGCATCAAGTCTGTATGATAGTAACGAAATTGTCTTATTCCTCCTGAAGGTTGGGTAAGCACAATAGCTACCAATAATGCGAAATACACGCTAATGAAATCAGTAAGTGGTCAGCATACTTTCATCCATATGGAGCCAAATCATTTCCAAACTGAGGTGTTACTAAATTCAGTCTTGGAGTAACACTGAGCAGTCTTTGGTTCCTTAGACAGTCACAGACTACACAGATACATTCCCTTGTATTTTTGAGGCCCTTTATTTTGTCGTCATTTAGATCGGACGATGTTTGTTGACGGGCTCTCCACTTTAGTGGCTCGAGTTCTGACTCCAAGTTGATTATATGAATGACTGTTCTTGAAAGATATATGTCGCCTATCCTCGTATGTAATCATCGACTTTAATCGCGTTAGTCAATAACGGATTTAGATAAGTCAAATAACGAGAATGGACTTGTGAATACATATATTTTGTATATGAAGCGAATGGAATAGAACGAAGCAAAACGACGCGCAGTGAAGATGGCGGCTAAGCCAACTCCCATTTAGCCAAGCATTAATCAATATTTATAGGCACACAAAAATAAGTTACAGACATGCGATGAATAATGGGATAAGAAGTGTATACACATCTACGCGCTCATATAAAAACAGTCAACATTGATAAGCGAATAATTAATAAGGTCAGAATGTGACTCAAGTAGAATAAATAGAATTGGCTGTCTGAAAGCTAGAATAAGGTATATAGCCTTAACATAATAACAGACACTACATATTCTCAATCTTTGTTACCCTATGTAACACTGAAGTAATTGGAAAAGTTACTGGTCATCGTTGAATCTTGATGCAACAAGGCTCAAAGGAATCAGGAAATGTGAAGAAGATTGGGATCTGCCATACAATTATGTAGAAGTCTAAGATACGTTTCCTCAGTCAAAGTATGAATAATTATCAGTTAGCTAGCTAAGGTGACGCCCAATCGTAACTTTTATTTTGTCATTTCAAGGGAGCATCTCAAAATTACAATTAGAATTTCATCAGATGACACTTCATTCAAAATGGTTTCCCAAATGCCTTTGAAATTCACTGCTGATCTCTATTCCATTCATTGCATATCTACCATTGAAAAAGTCACGATTCAAAATCGTTTAAGTAGGAGAGCTAATTCTTTGTAAGCGTCCAACCGTAGTGATTAACAGTGAATCTCGGCTTGCCAGCCGGTAGAATTATGATCTACTTCGTTATTAGTACTGCTCTAATGATAGGCCATATCCTAAAATTAAATATTTGCCAGGACGTAACTGCCTAACCTATAAGACCTAAGGTGAAATTCACATCATTGTCTGCATTGACTCATCGTAGCTTAGCAATCACCAATATATGATGTACAACACATCCAGACTAGATATAGAACAATATATTTAATTTGAATGAAAGTGATGTTACACAAGAATGACCACGCTTGCGAGGGCGAGCCATGTCATCCGATGAATTGAATTTCGAATGAATGTGTAACCATGTCCACTATTATTGAACTTCATTTTGTATTAAAAGTCTATTTTCCCAGTTCAGCTTTGGGGATTGTGGTTAGGATCCAATGCAACTGCAATCCATATATCCAACAACGGTTGTAACGACTGAAATGCCAATATTCGGTTTGAAAGCATAACTAAAGAACCAAAGCTTATTTGACTAGACCAAACTACATTATTCTGCAAAGTCTACAGAACGTTTTTGA